ATATAAAGAAGTAATATACAAAAGTAATGCTCACTTATGTTGAGCTCTGGATATTATATATAAGTGATGAATCACTAAATTCTATCCCTGAAACTACTTTAACCATATATGTTGACTAAATATAAATTAAATAAATTTGAAATTAAAAAAATATATATGCTCTTTTCCCTAGGGCACTTCTAAATCTCATCAATGAGACGAGATAAATACATGGAGAGAAAAAGAACATGGAAACCTAAAACTCTTATTTGAGCCCTACCATGTAAATTGTTCTCCTAAATCCAAGCTCTGTTTCAAACATGTAGCAGATTTCAATGCTCTAATAAGATTGTTTTTTCCTTCTGTCAGTCATTATCCTCATGCCTCCCCACCTTACATACACCACACATCCATCCCAGTCTCTAATTTAAGAAGTTGATTGGAGAATTCTTGGGATAACAAAGATTTTGAGATTTCATTTTGTACATTTCCCTGTTTCTTGGTAGGAGCCTATCTGAGGCATTCCAAACCCAAGTGAGACAGTAATGCCTATAGCCAGAGAGCCGGCACCCTCCCATCCCCCTGTCATCCTGTAAAATCAGATAATTCTTCTTTATGTTCAATCTTCATCTATTTTCCATCAATATTGACCTCTGTTTATCACCCATTCTTATAAGGAATGAGGTACACAAACTCTTGAAACTTAAGAACATTCCCAAATGCCCACCTGGTAATATTGTTCCATTGCCAATCACTCCAGGTCTCTGGAATATAAGTCTCATATTTTTTGTCAATAACCCACTAAAAATCATTTTAAAAATCCCTTAAAATGCTTTAATTTGGTTCCTACCCAGGTGTAACCACTTATGCAGTCATCTGGTCTCTCCTTTAAACTTTTGAAAGATGAGGGGTGCCTCAGTAGCTTAGTCAATTAAGCATCTGCCTTTGATCATGATCAAGTCATGATCTCAGGGTCCTGGGGTGGAGCCTCCCATTGGGCTTCCTGCTCAGTTAGAGAGCCTTCTTCTGCCTTTCCCTCTGCCTGCCACTCCTTCAGGTTTCTCTGCCAAATAAATAAATATGTTTTTAAAACTTTTGAAAGATGGAAGTATCCTAATTTCCAGGACACCAGTTAGGTACTCCTATTTCATCCCCTAACCTCCATAGCCTCCTCAATTAGTATCATCAAGTTATCACGCATTTGATTAAGGGACAATACAACCCTGAGGCGAGGCATGACTACCATGACCTCCGAGTCCCTTTCAGGCCATCATATGAAGAGGGGGAAACAGAATTGGCAGCAGTTCCAACCCAACCAATGCTTGCCCCACAGGAGCCCCTGAGCCCAGGCAGACTCCACTGTAGGCAAGGAAGGCATTTTACCAAAATGGGCAGCGTGCCAAATCCTGGCATAATGACTGACACAGGAGGCCTGGAGGCAGGAGGGCAGCCAAGACCTATGCATACTTCTCCTCTTCCCCAAATGCAATTCCCCCAGCCTGGGCCCATCCTTTTGTGCTCCTAATTCCAAATTTTTCAGATTTTCCATAGTGCTCATCTGATGCCAAGCAACTCTCATCCATTACCTAAGACCAGTGTTCTTTTTTCATCCAGAACCAACCTGCCCACAGGACACATGCATTCCAACGTGCTGATACACACGAAAATCTAATAAAAGTAATCTCTCTCCTGTGTTGGGAGGCAAGCATGCTCAGCACTATGTATGATGAGGAGTCAGTCAATCTGTCTGAGTGATGCACGACTAACAAAACAATTAGGCCACAGGTCTAAAGCTGAGGATTAATCATCTATTTCTATGTCTTAATTCATCATTTGGTTCCAAACATAGTAGGGGAAATGTGGTGTTATGTATTGGACCTCTACAGTTCCAACAATGGATTGTAGGGAAAGTGGGCAAGATGCAGGTTCAGATCACATGCAGTAGACAGATCTAGTTGAGAGAATAACAGGACAGAAGAACCAGAGGAAATCCTAGAAGTTTGTTAATAAACAGATCAGATAAGTCAGAAATTATCAGTTCTGATCCAGTTACACATAAATAAGCAGAGCATGGAAGACACTGAGAGGCTTATCCAAGCCTACATTGTTGGTTAGTGGTGGAAACCAGACCAGGACCCAGGACATGGCTCTCAGCAGGGCTCAGAAAGAGCCCTGCTGAGCAGACAACAATAGAGAAAGTTGAAAGTCCAAGAATGCAGATGTCACCAAGTGGAAGAACCAGCCCCCAGGGTTCTCAGCATGGGTAGTGGGTTCAAGGCCAAAGTGCTTTGTGCTCAGAGGAAAACACTGGCTGCAATCCACCTCTGCATGCTCTGTTGCCCCCTCACACAGCCATGGCTCAAACTACACAGCTGGCTCTGTGTGCTCTGCTTCATTTTCCTCTGCTTTTCCTAGTGTTCCCTCTGCCTGCAATCTCTCCCTGCTTTCCCTGTGTGGAATATCCTATCTGTCTTTGGAGAGAACCAATTCAAATGCCATTCCTCTGCAAAATCTTCTTTGGTTTCTCTAATCAACTCTCACCACCGTGCCAGCCACAAAAGATTTCCTCAACTCTGAATTTGCAAGACACATTATCTGCTTATTACTCATGACAATGCCCTGTGTTTCAGCTATGCTTTACCCCTTGTATTAGAATTTAAGCTTCTTAGAAATAAGTTAGAGAAAGACAATTATCATATGGTTTCACTCATATGAGGAATATAAGAAACAGCACAGAGGATCATAGAGGAAAGGAGGGAAAAACAGAATGAGAAGAAATCAGAGAGGGAGATAAACCATGAGAGACTCTTAACTATGGGAAAGAAACTGAGGGTCTCTGGAGGGGAGGTGGGGGGGGACGGGGTAACTGGGAGATAGGCATTAAAGAGAGCACGTGATGTGATGAGCACTGGGTGTTATACACAACTGATGAATTTCTTAACTCTACATCTGAAAATAATGATGTTCTATAAGTCGGCTAATGGAATTTAAGTTAAAAAAAAAGACACAAAAACAGACATATAGATCAATGGAACAGAACAGAGAACCCAGAAGTGGACCCTGAACTTTATGGTCAACTAATATACGATAAAGGAGGAAAGACGATCCACTGGAAGAAAGACACTCTCTTCAATAAATGGTGCTGGGAAAATTGGACATCCACATGCAGAAGAATGAAACTGGACCACTCTCTTGCACCATACACAAAGATAAACTCAAAATAGATGAAAGATCTAAATGTGAGACAAGATTCCATCAAAATCCCAGAGGAGAACTCAGGCAACACCCTTTTTGAACTTGGCCACAGTAACCGGAGAAGGACAAACAGTGTATGTTCTCATTCATTTGGGGAATATGAATAATAGTGAAAGGGAATATAAGGGAAGGGAGAAGAAATGTGTGAGAAATATCAGAAAGAGAGACAGAACATAAAGACTTCTAACTCTGGGAAATGAACTAGGGGTGGTGGAGGGGGAGGAGGGCGGGGGGTGGGGGTGAATGGGTGACGGGCACTGAGGGGTACACTTGACTGGATGAGCACTGGGTGTTATTCTGTATGTTGGTAAATTGAACACCAATAAAAATTAATTTATAAAATTTTAAAAAAAGAAAAAGTAAAAAGAATGAAGCTACGAATTCAAGCTCCTTAAAGTCAGTGATCATATTTCATATTTGGGGGATTTCTCTGTTTCTTTTATTTTTTTATTGAAGTATAATTAACATACCATGTTGTTATTTTATTCTTAGGTGTACAATATAATGATTCAATAATACGTATTCAGGGCTCATCAATATAAGTGTATTCTTAATTCCTTTAATCTATTTCACCCATCCCCCCAACCATCTCTCTGCTGGACACCACCAGTTCCCGATCTTTAATTTTGCTTTTTTTTTCAAGTATCTCTTTTTTTCTATTTTTTTGTTTTATTTCATAAGTACATATATGAGTGAAATCATATAGTATCTGTTTTCCTCTGACTGACTTATTCCACTTTGCATTATAGCCTCTAGGTATATCCATGTAGTTACAAATGGAAAGATTTCATTACTGAATTATACTCCATTATAAACTATATAGATATGTATTTCTATATGTTAATACACTCACACACACCACATCTTCTTTATGAATTTATCTGTCAATGGACATTTGTGTTGCTTCCATATGCTAGCTTTTGTAAATAAGGATGCCATAAGCATAGAAGTGCATATATCTCTTTGACTTCATGTCAATAAAACATTTTGCACGGTAAAGGAAATCATTAGCAAAACAAAAAGCAAAGTACCTAATTTGATATTGCAAGACCTATCTCCAATAAGGGGTTAATTTCCAAAACACATAAGTATCTTCTATAACTCAATACCAAAAACAACCAAATGATCCATTAAAAAATGGGCAGAGGACCTGAATAAACATTTCTCCAATGAGAACATATCAGATGGGTAATAGATACAGGAAACGTGCTCAGCATCACTAATCATCAAGAAAATGTAAGTTAAAACTACATAAGATATCACTTTACATCTGTCATAACAACTAAAAAAAGTCAAGAAATAAAAGAGTGTTGGTGAGGATGTGGAGAAAAGGAACTCTCATGCGCTTCAGGTGACAATATAAATTGGTGCAGACACTATGGAAATGAGTATGAAAGTTCCACAAAAAATTAAAAATAGAACTACTTACCATACGATCCAGTATTTCCACTACTAGATATTAACACAAAGAAAACAAAAAAAAATTTCTAGCTCTTTTATTAAGAGTTTTTCTAAAGCCAGTAAGCAGGTAAGACACAACTGAAAAGTAGACAGTTTAAAAAACAAGAAAAAAAACACATCTGTCACTCTACAATAAATACAAAGCTCTGTTAGTGTACCCTCGGCAACATCTCATGGAAGGCCTTGCTTTGCATGTGTTAGGAGTATTCCCCGTTATTGTTCAGGGGACCACACTGCATTCAGGTGTGATGATATCAACCAAATATGTACTAGTGGAGTTCAAGATCTACAGTTCTGACCCCAACTTAAGAGTGATTAGCGACCAAGCTGTTCTGGATCCCATAGCCAAAGTAGATAGCAAACCCAATCAGCATCCAGACACCAAATAGGGCCCAGGTTCCACTTGTCATCTGCATCATAAGGTAAATATTCAAAAAGATGCTGAGGAGAGGGAGGAGAGGCAGACCAGGTACCTTAAAGTGAAGGGGAGAGGAGCTCTGTGGCTGCCTCCAGATGACCCCAGTGATCCCAGTGATGAGCACCAGGAGCAGCACAACCACAGTGATCCACACTGGGTCTCCAGAAAGTATATCTGGCCATCGTGCCAGCACGAGGCAAAGAAGAGTCAGCAGCAGAGCAATGAGTGAGAAGCAAACAGAGACAACCCGGCCAGAGAGTGGGGTGGGGGTGGGGCTGCCTGGAAAGAGTAGTCCCTGTAGAGTCAGCTTCTCTGCTATGGGTCCATTCTCTTCCTGCACCTCTGCTTCATTTCTTTCATTCTCCTCCTGCACCTCAGCTTCACTTCCCTCACTCTTCTTTTTGGGCAGATACCTGATGATAAGAACCCCAAAAGATATCAGAGATGAAATTACCAGAGACGTCAGTGACCTGAGATCCACAAGGTCAATGATTCTGAAAAAGAAAGCCATGATTACTGCAATAATAACAAAGATGACAATCGCTGTGATGCGAAAGCATATGCCAGTTTGGATCCTGGCAAGGACAGGGAACAGGAGGCCATCCTCTGCCATCTTGCATATAATCCGAAGGAAAAAGGATGTAAAGCCAAAGATGTGTAAAAAAATATTAGAGAAAATTACAAAAGCTACAACATAGTAGGCAGGGACCCAGCCAATATGAAGAAATGCCTCTAGCATGGTGCTTCCAGACCGGAGCTGGTAGTAAGGCACCATAAGTGTAAGTGCTGCAGAGACACTAAAATACATCAATGTGGAGATGAACAGTGAAATCACAATGCTCATTGGGATGGAACGCTCAGGATTCTGGGCTTCTTCAACTCTGGTAATAATAATGGTGAAACTCCTAAAAACAAAGAAGCAGGTAGCTGTTCCACGGAGAATCCCCTGGAAGCCAAAAGGCATGAATCCTCCAGAGCCCAGAGGACCCAAGCTAGAGGTGTCATTGAGTCCAGCCTTTATGTAGTCCTCTTCTGTGAGCTTCCAGTTGTGTAGGTCCCCCTTTATGAAGCCAGAGATGATGATAAAACTGAGAACCAAAATGTTCATTGATGCAAAAACTTTGGTAACAACCAGGAAAAACTGTCTAATGTTTGAAATCAGGAATTCCACGAACACCATCACAAGGCCCACAACAAAATAGCCTAGAATTTCTATAAAGTCCTGGGAAACATGCAATGAAATGCTCCCGTGCAAGATCTGAGAGAGCTGGTTCCCAAAAAGTCTGTCAAAAGCTAAGGCCCAGGCTCGGAAAACAAATGCTACATTAGCAACATTGGTAAGGATGAGGTTCCAGCCACTGATGAAAGCCCCAAGTTCACCTACAGTGACATAGGTGTAGAGATATGAAGAGCCAGAGTGGGGAACCCAGGCACTAAACTCTGCATAGCACAACCCAGCCAACAATGAAGTTAGGCCAGCCACCAAAAAGCAGATCACAATGGCTGGTCCTGCTATAACTCCAAACACCTCCCCAGCCAGAATATAAACACTTATACCCATTCTGTAGCCCACACCCAGGGCCACTAAATCCAGAGTGTTCTGAGTTCTGGCAGGGGCAGTCTCAGCCACAGATTGCTCCAGCGGATGTTTGCGCACCAGCTTTTTACCAAATCTTCGAAGTGCCTGACACAGCATTCTAGTTGGAATTGAAGAGGATTCTAGAATCAGAGAGCTGTAGCAAATCCAAGGGGCAGAGAGTCGCAGATCAAGTTCAGTGAGGCTAAGTTAAGCAGAGTTGGGTTGGGGCTGCCTCCATTGGTTCCTCAGGCTTCAAAGGTGCTGTCTCATATTTCTTCTGGCATATGTTATCCCTTCACAATGCCTAAAACATAGTAAACAATAATTTTTTCCTGAACTCATTATTCAACCCACCAACCAAAGCTCAGAAGTCCCATGTCACCTGTTGTAGCCCAAATATAACAGAAGCTGACACCGAAGGACATCATAGCAAAATAAACCCTGCTTTCCACCCAGAAAAAGTGCCAAATACCCCGGCATTCTCCTTTTTTACATACCACATGACATAAACCCATCTCGTTCATTTAACTCATGCAGTTTCATGTAGTAATTAAGCTGCAAGACCCAACAGAGTATAAATGTATTGTGCAATGATTCACATATGGGATATGTACAAGATACTTGAGGTTTTTTAATAAATTTATTTTTTATTGGTGTTCAATTTGCCAACACATAGAATAATACCCAGTGCTCATCCCATCAAGTGCCCCCCTCAGTGCCCATCACCCAGTCACCCCCACCCACCTCCCAACTCCCCGTCCACCACCCCTAGTTCGTTTCCCAGAGTTAGAAGGTACTTGAGTTTCAGTAATGACACATTAATTCACAGACTAGATGTTTCATTGCAATTACAGAAACATTTGTATATATCATCTGAGTTTAAAATATAAATATTAGTTTCCTCTTTTTACACCCTTGGGCACCAAATCACCTGCCCAAGGTCAGATGGTATTTTGATCCCCATTTCTCCTCATTCTGCGTCATCCACTTAGCTGTACTGATGGCCAGGAATGTACAGTCCACCATTTCTGTGAGGAGGGGAAATGAAAATAGAGATAAAGATGAGAGAAGAAAATAAAATGCATTGCAAAGGGGCCTGACAGCAAGTGATGGTACGAACATGCTATAACTGAGGGTAGGACTGACCCTACTCCGTGCATTGCAGATTGCACACAGGAATTGCAGGAGATAATGTTTTGAGAGGACCTGGTAAAGACCCTGATAAATGGCAGGCATTCAGGAGATTTAACATGAAGGGAAACCAGAGTCCTGTGATTGCCAGGATATGGAGAATACAAAGAAGAAATACCTGTTAGGAAGGGGGGGGGATAACAGGGAAGATGGAGCACCTTTCCTCTAGTTCCCTCTGAACCCATTTCCCTTTTCCCAATTCCTCTTTCTCCTTCAGCTCCTTCAACTGTACTGGAGGCTTCTACAGTTAGCACTAACGATGCTTGTACCACGTTTCTCTCTCTGGGGAGCTCCTAAACCCCCTACCTCCCAACAAAGACATAACAGTGGTTCTTCACATTTGTTAAATCAAAGACCCCTCTGAGGTGGGTCACCTTAAAAAAATTTTCTACACTCTTCAAAGTCCATCCATGGACTCTGATCAGGATCTCAGCAGAGGACCATCTGAATGGCAGGATCAGAGATGGTCAATGCTTTTGATAATTTCTGTTTCCCTCAATTGTGTTGTGCAGTGTGGTACTTGCACTTTTCTTACTTTTCCTGAAGATGAGGGAAAGTAGATCTACAGACAAAGTATGAGGATAACCAAAGAATCAACATAAAGAACAAAACATATGGGAACTAAATAATCATATTTTATTTCTCCAACAGAATCAGGTAGAAGGCAGAACAAACAAATGAACAACCAAATGCACAGAAGAGAGCGCAAACCCATAATCGGGAATCCTGAGAGAGGCTGCCACAAATTCAGTTTATAACAACACAGGGAAACATTGTTCTCAATCACCATGTTCAGAAATGTTCTTTCTCTGTATACTAATCTGCGATTATTCTAATAGTTTCGTTTAGTCCAGACCCTCTGACCCAGCTGTCAGAGTCCCGCCCTAATTCTTCTCCTATCTTCAGGCCCATCACCTCCTTCCTTACTCAGCTCATCACATCCTGACTTACCTTCGTCAGATAAGCCTGTGCCCTGCCAGGGACGCCCTTCTCACTCCTTCTGTCCAGTCTTGACCCTCTAGTTCTTCTCAACCTTACGCTACAACTTTCCCCTTACATCTAGAAAGCCTTTCCTAGGGTGTCTGGGTGGAAGATGGCGGAAGAGTAGGGTCTCCAAGTCACCTGTCCCCACCAAATTACCTAGATAACCTTCAAATCATCCTGAAAATCTATGAATTCGGCCTGAGATTTAAAGAGAGAACAAAAAAAAAAAATAAAACATTCACTTGAAAAATTAAAAAAAAATAAAGAGAGAACAGCTGGAATGCTACAGAGCCGGGCTAAGGCCGGGGCACGTGCCCCCAGGACAGGAAAGCCCCGCCCGGAGAGGCAGGAGCTTCACCAATCTTCCCGGGTCGAAAGGCGCTGGCAGGGAGTTAGAGCAGGATCCCAGGAGGGCGGGGATGCTCTTGGGCTCCCTCGGACACTAACAGACACCTGCCCCCAGGGAGAGTGGGCCGAGCTCTCTAAAGGGCTGCAGCGCGAACAGCTGGACCCGATAGCAGATCTGGGGCGGCTCAGGCAGAGGCTCCGTGGAGAGGGGGCTGCGCGGCCGGGAGCATGAATCCAACAGCACCGGCCAGGGAGCCCAGGGCGCCGGGGACACAGCCCAGGATGCGGCCTCCACCCGGGACAGGCAGAGGCCAGGAGGGCACAGAACAGTGAGGACAATCCTGCCACCGGGTGGCCGGGAGCTGAGCAGATCAGCGGCCCTTTCCCCGGATCATCCAGGCTCCTACAGACTGACTCCAGGGCTCCAGAGCTGGCCGATGCCACTGTTGCTGTTCCTCCTGGGGCCTCACAGGGTAAACAACCCCCACTGAACCTCACAGTAGCCTCACCTGATAAACAGGATAAACATTACTCACTGAGCCCTATTATACCAGGCAGGGGGCAGAGTAGCTCCCCCAAGTGCTAACACCAGAAAATCAGCACAACAGGCCCCTCCCCCAGAAGACCAGCTAGAGGGACAGGGGAAAAACAAATTATTGACCAAGCAGCCCTGGAAAGTTCCAGGGGAAGTCAAGGGACTTACAGTATACAGAATCGGAGGACACTCCCCCGTTTTTATTTTGTTTGTTTGTTTTTTGCTTTTTGATTTCTATTTGCTTCCCCCAACCTTTTTTCCTTTCTTTCTTTTTCTTTCTCTTTTTCTTCTCTTTTTTCCTCTTTTTTTCTTTTTCTCATTTCTTTCCTTCTTTCTCTCATTTTCTCCTTTTCCCAATCAAACTTGTTTTTGGCCACTCTGCACTGAGCAAAATGACTAGAAGGAAAACCTCACCTCAAAACAAAGAATCAGAAACAGTCCTCTCTCCCACAGAGTTACAAAATCTGAATTACAATTCAATTTCAGAAAGCCAATTCAGAAGCACTATTATACAGCTACTGGTGGGTCTAGAAAATAGCATAAAGGACTCAAGACACTTCATGACTGCAGAATTTAGATCTAATCGGGCAGAAATTAAAAAATCACTTGAATGAGATGCAATCCGAACTAGAAGCCCTAATGACGAGGGTTAATGAGGTGGAAGAACGAGTGAGTGACATAGAAGACAAGTTGATGGCAAAGAGGGAAACTGAGAAAAAAAGAGACAAACAATTAAAAGACCATGAAGATAGATTAAGGGAAATGAACGACAGCCTGAGGAAGAAAAACCTATGTTTAATTGGGGTCCCCGAGGGCGCCGAAAGGGACAGAGGATCAGAATATGTATTTGAACAAATCCTCGCTGAAAACTTTCCTAATCTGGGAAGGGAAACAGGCATTCAGATCCAGGAAACAGAGAGATTCCCCACCTAAAATCAATAAAAACCGTTCAACACCTCGGCATTTAATAGTTAAGCTTCCAAATTCCAAAGATAAAGAGAAGATCCTGAAAGCAGCAAGAGACAAGAAATCCCTGACTGTTATGGGGAGGAGTATTAGGGTAACAGCAGACCTCTCCACAGAGACCTGGCAGGCCAGGAAGGACTGGCAGGATATATTCAGGGTCCTAAATGAGAAGAACATGCAACCAAGAATACTTTATCCAGCAAGGCTCTCATTCAAAATGGAAGGAGAGGGATCCCTGGGTGGCGCAGCGGTTTGGCGCCAGCCTTTGGCACAGGGCGCGATCCTGGAGACCCGGGATCGAATCCCACGTCGGGCTCCCGGTGCATGGAGCCTGCTTCTCCCTCAGCCTGTGTCTCTGCCTCTCTCTATATATATATATCATAAATAAATAAAAATTTAAAAAACAAACAAACAAAAAAAAATGGAAGGAGAGATAAAGAGCTTCCAAGACAGGCAGGAACTGAAAGAATATGTGACCTCCAAACCAGCTCTGCAAGAAATTTTAAGGGGGACTCTTAAAATTCCCCTTTAAGAAGAAGTTCAGTGGAACAATCCACAAAAACAAGGACTAAATAGATATCATGATGACACTAAACTCATGTCTATCAATAGTAACTCTAAACGTGAATGGGCTTAATGACCCCATCACAAGGCGCAGGGTTTCAGACTGGATAAAAAAGCAGGACCCATCTATTTGCTGTCTACAAGAGACTCATTTTAGACACAAGGGCACCTACAGCCCGAGAAGAAAAGGTTGGAGAACCATTTACCATGCAAATGGTCCTCAAAAGAAAGCAGTGGTAGCCATCCTTATATCAGATAAACTAAAATTTACCCCGAAGAGTGTAGTGAGAGGAGAAGAGGGACACTATCTCATACTTAAAGGATCTCTCCAACAAGAGGACTTAACAATCCTCAATATATATGCCCCGAAGTGGGAGCTGCCAAATATTTAAACCAATTAATAACCAAAGTGAAGAAATACTTAGATAATAATACACTTATACTTGGTGACTTCAATCTAGATCTTTCTACCCTCGATAGGTCTTCTAAGCACAACATCTCCAAAGAAACGAGAGCTTTTTTTTTTTTT